CTACTTTTACATGAACTGATACTATTACAACAAACCTGTGTAATGGTTTGAAGTTGTAGTTTATTACAGATATACTTGTACTGCTCTTATTATTTTTATAGCGTATATCCTACAAACTTCAAAAACAATAAAAGAAACGTGATACGAAAGTAGGTTACAGATTCCGTTAATGAATGATATTTGTCTGACGAAGGGCTAATCAATATGAAAAATCAGTAGAATTTTCAGCGTTACGAATTTCTAACGTTATTTATCGACGTTGATTGAAACAAAAATGATTGAAACGCATAGTAAACATTACTATAAGATAGCTGCAACCCTATCACTGTATCGACTGGGATACGAATATGGATAGTAGAGAAGTAGATTTCTCTGTCATATGGCCAGAGATATGAAAAATGACCTCATGTTAGCACTCATTTCGGTCGGATTCACTCAAACTCTCTTAGCGTTATCGATAAAGAAAAAACACTGATTAAAATTCTGCATTAGTTCACACACCGAATCTGTTTCTAATTGATGACAAAATCGGTTAAGTTCATGATAGTTTTAGTTTTTAAGTTGCGTGAGTTATTGCACCAGTCGTCCAGTCAAAGAATTGCATTTAGACGATGGCACTGCTATCATATAGGTTCAATATAGTTTCATAAATGCAGAAAAATCGTTGATCATTTACTCAAGTTTTAGATTGACGAATTGAAAAAGAGTGACGCGGGGACTGACGAAAAATACCGCGGAATTGTAATTGATGTAATTGTTTGTTTAATCAGAAAAGACCGTTCTACATAACTACTTAGATTAGATTATTATAGGAAACAATTTGATAAAATAAAGTCATTTCGACTCTGAACATTCGTGTGTCCCAGATATTTTGGTATTGGGCAATAACTATCTTCCCGGAAAATTATTGGGCAATAAGTTTTCAATTACTGAGCAATTGCCCAATGGCCACCCCCCTGGCTACGCCACTGGCAAGAAGTGAAACGAGTCCTAAAGGTTAAGTGCATTCAAACTACGTACTATATTTAAATAATCAGAGACACATACATTGAAAAGAGTTTAAATAAGGTTGAAAATCAGAGAGTTTTTAAAGTTTGAAAGATTGCAAAAAATTCAAAGCAATCTAGAAGTGTGTGTATTTTGCAGAATGTTAGGTTGCCAGAAAATTCCAGAACTTTACAGATTGCAGCAATCCGATTAATCAAGAGAATCTGTGAACTATGAAAATTTTGAAAAACCCATGGAATCGCTGAAATATTATGAATCAATAGATTTGTAGGAATGCAAGATATCCATTGAATGCAGAGAATTTTGCGAATGTATGAGAAACTTAAGAGTATCATCTCATGCATCCGCCAAGGATAAAACAGGACAAAGAAGAATGGCTGATAAAAAAAGCATTTGATGTTGAAGAATGTATGAACAGATAAAGAACAATATTCTTTATCGACGAATGGCTGAGAGAACAAAAAAGGGGATGCCATATGTTTTTTCTTGTCAAACTTCATCACTAATCGACGTATCTCAAAATTGAATTTCGTCATGTCTATAAACAACATCAAGCCAGTCTATCATCGATCAAAACTAGGGTGGGTGTGGGTGTGGGTGGGTGGGTGTGGGTGTGGGTGTGGGTGTCGGTGTGGGTGTGGGTGTGAGAGTGTGGATGTGGGTGTGGGGTGAGTGTGTGGGCGGGTGGGTGTGGCTGTGGGTTTTGGTGGGTGTGGGTATGAGTATTAGTATTGTCTACAGCCATACACTACATCCACACCCACACCCTATCTGGCTACTGAATGGCAACAAAGGACAACTAAAAAGTTTCTATTTCATGAGAGTTTACAGAATGAGTGCGGTGCAAAATGTGTTTTTGAAATACAGGCAAACTCACCAGTAACAACATTGAGGGTAACAGTCGTCTCTTCAGTTGAAGTCCTATTCCTTGCTGTCACCTTGTATACACCTTGATGTTCTCGCTTTACATTAGCCACTGAAAATGTATATCGTGTTGTCCCCTCGCTTATGAACTGCACTGCTTTTCCATCTTTTGTCAGCTGAACTTTCGGTGTTTCCTTGCCACTCACATCCACGATGATGTCGAATGGTTTGCCTTCTTGTAAGTCAATTGTATCCGATACTGGTTTCGCTTTTGTCAACTTAACTGGTTCCAGTAGTGTAAGTACACATGGACTCGACTGTATTTCACCAACTTCGTTCTTCAACACGACTCGATAGGTACCTTCATTTTGCGCCACCGTTGCTTTTTTGATTAACAGTTGATATTCACCCTTGGCCTCGTCTATCGACGTATTTTCAGATTTGATGACCTCTTCTTTGAAGAACCATTGTGCAGAAGGTCGTGGTGATCCTTTTGCAACCACTTTCAGTGTGACATCTTGTCCACTCACAATTTCTTGCTGTTTGGGCAACTGTGTGATGATTATTGGTACAGTAAGAACAGTGAGTTGAACAGTTTCTTCTTCATTACCATAAGGATTCTGAAGCCGACAAGTAATCGAACCTGCATGTTGTTCTTGATCGACGTTCCGAATGAACAACTTCTCTTCGCCAGTCGGAACATAGAGTTGCACCTGAATGCCTTCTTTCGCTGTCAGCTGTTTGCCATTGAGAAGCCATGTGATAGTCGGTGTTGGATATCCATCGATTTGTGTCTTGAACAAGACTGTCTCACCTTGTTTTACTTTTTGTGTCGTCGGCTTGACAATAAACACTGGTGATTCTACAAAGGCAATTTTAAGTCGGTTTCAATGAATGCAAGTCCATGTAACTTTTAGCGCATATGAATCGAAGTACTTCTATTTTGAGTTGTATAACTCATTGGAAATTCCAGAAATAGGAGTCTTCTATTGATAACATTGAAGAGTTCAAAATGGTTTTTGAAAAGAAAAAGTTGTTAGACATTGATAAAGAGTTATAATAAATGAAATTCGTATGATATTTATAAACCAATACGAGACCTATAAATAGGTGTGGAACTCACAAATCGGTTACGAGCGTATATATAGTTGCTCTTACTACATGTTCTGATATTGAAGAGTGTGAAAGGGAATGCATTTGATCCTCTCTTTACTCGAACCCACAAAACAACTACACTTAGAAATAGACTCGTGCACGAACAAATAGTGCCTTTCCTACTAATTAATTCTTTCTTACTTCTACCATCGCATCAGTCGAAAGAGAAGTAGACAGAGAAAGAGAAGAAATGAAAGATAATATGAGATATATAAGAGTAGTGCAAATGGTCTGATCCATCACAGAATGTTAGCAGTTGACTTCGTACAAGTCGCTTCTTAAGTTCGTCGTGATACAGACTTGTGAGTGACTATTGGAAGTTTGATACTGCAGATGAACTGTCTTTCGATCTTACTTCGCTCATTATCAAAGACATTAGATTTAATTTTCTTTCAGGTTAGTCAACCAAATAGCTCTCCGTTCGAAAAATGAATCTAGAAGTTTAGATAATTGCCTGATTAATAAATCACATTTACATTTATCAGAAATCGTTGGGAGATTCTATCATCAGTTTTTGACTCATCTTGTCCTCCCTTTCTTCTTACAATGAAACATAGCGTCCAAGTTTTTCTTCAAAACAAATATTAATTTCATTCATATCACTAAAGCTTTTAGTACGATCCCTGCAAGATAAACATGTGATGCACGACGAAGCCACTTTAATTGTGAACGACAGTCATCGCCATTTCTATCGCAGCTCGCGGTTAGAGCAAAAGGAGCACTAGATTGCAATGCCTGTCACTTTTCGCTCTAATATAGGCTTTTTTGACATGCTTATCACATACTACTCGATAGCGGAACGCCGAGGAATAGGGTTCAACTTTCTCATTTTATAGTTCAACACTCATTAACAATCGTGTTTCACAAAAATGACGCACTACGCATTACATTAGACGCATGCTCGCATGGACAACTTATGTCTGTTGTTCTAAACAGTAATATGATAGGAAAAACATCGGACTAGCACTAAGCCAATCATGCAGGATGTCGAAAGAGGTCTTGAGCTTAAAGAGGACTTTCCAGCATGAAAGAGTATCGATTAGAATCAAATATAGTGGAAGACACCACAAGGCAGGCAATAATTTACATGATGTTAAATATAGTATCTATGTCATGAAATTGCAAAGAGTCTAATAAGAATGGACTAGTAATGTCACACATTTAGTATAGATGTGCCTTTGACTATCAGTATACTCACGTTATGTCTCTCTCGCAAGATCTTTTTAGGTCCGCATTATTAATGAAGTGAGTTCATATACTCCAGAATGGTTCGATAGAACTTGGTAAGAAAACTGAAAGCAGGAGCTCTACAATAACAAACATCTATGCAGTAGAGAATGTTGCCGTTAGTCTTTTGTTCATATTATATGAGTGTGAACATAGATCCGGATGAACAGAAGACCGACGATCAGTGCGGAGCAGCACTAAATCTATCTATCAACAATAAAAAAAAGGAAAAAAGGAAAATCTGAAAATTTTAGGATATGAAAGGGAAGCATTTTCTAAAGAAAGTACTCCAAGCGATTGTCATGTGCTTTCAATTAAGTTTAAGAGACGGCAACGCTTTGAGCGATTTTCATCATTTCAGAAAAAAAAATTAACTTAAATCAATTATGTGTATATAACAAGAACAACAGTTCGATAGATGAATCAGAAAACTGATAGAAGTTAATGAGGTTTTTAATTGATGACTTGGACAAAATTGTCTTTTTGTGAAAATCATTATTTGAAACTAAAAATTCCATTGAATTCAATCAAAAATTGTCATAACGAATTTTGTTTTTCTGATCTTTTAAACTGAATCGATTTTAATTTGCTTTTTAACAGGTTTTTTTAGATGCATAGCAAATCGATTCTTTATGTTCATATTTTATTCTGGGTATATTGATTGAAGGATATAATCCTTGATATTTTTCGCAGTATCGGAAACTGGAGCTTTATTTTAGAAATGAAGTATTCTTTTGTTTTGGTTTTTACTCACTTGGGGAAGTTGGATTGATTGGTGGTGGAACAACAACTGATACTGGTTGTAAAAGTGGAAATGGTGGCCTAGTTTCTTCCAGTTGAACAATGTGAAGGTTTCCTTGATTAAGACAACCCATTACTTTGAATTGAGTTGCAGCCATAAGCAGTACTTCGTCTTCGGCTGGAAAATAAGAATGCTTACGAATATCTTTAGCCGCTAGACAATGTAAGGTAAACATTGTACGATCACCTTTCGTCCCCAAAAATTGGTCCGAATTGAGAACATTAACAACCGTTGTACAAGACGAGAAACCCCACCAGACGATTGTTTTTCCTTCAGTATAACGCTTGCTTAGATCTAATGTAACGCCTCTGTATGCAGTTTTCGTAAGTGATGGAAGGCGAAAGAGTGCGCTGAGAAACAGTCTCATAAATAAATACCATGGCCTAAGTTTTTGTTGTCGTTCAGATGACCGCAATGTATCGTTCAAAACAATATAAAGGCATTTATCCAGTGGCTCCCACCCCATTGTGTATAACATAATTGAGGCGGACTCATCCTGTGTCAGTCCATCGGCAGGATTTGTACATCGCTGTTTGGCAACATATGCGTGACTTTGAACAGCTGGTAGAATAGGGACAAGCGGTTCAACAGCTATTTCAAGTGGAACAAGTGGCATTTCTTCATAGCCACCAACGGGTGCGATAAACTCAAGCGGTTCCTGGACAATATCTGTAATTCGTAATATACGCTGTGCTATTGCTTCTTCTCCACCTCCTGTGGCCATGTTCAGTAGAAAATAAGTTCTTCACGAAATATTAAAATGATATATATCTAAAAAGCAATAAACAACAACTTTTATAGATTATTTTTACCACCATTGATCTTTTTGTCTCTTGGTAATAATCAAGTTTTAAGAACATTGGACTTTTCTTACAGTGCTGCATTTGATCTTATATAACTTTCAAGATTTACAGTATGCCTAACATTAGTTCTAATACTTATGTGGAAATATTCTCTGATG